GTGCAATGCATGGTGGAGGACCTCCCCTTTGATGGCCAAAAGCTGTTTGCAACAAAGACGGATGAGACCCTCCACATCCTGAAGGATTCTCAGGCAACCCTTTGTACTGTGGGTATATATACACCTGCAACATGGAAAAAAAACAGGGTAGATACTGTCCTTCCCAGTGCACAAGATCTTCCCCATACACATAAAAACTGAGGCAATATGATTCACGACAGAAGCAGAGACCTCCAAGGCATCAACGAGCTCCACCCATCAGCATCCCAACAACCCTTGTCAAAACAACAATTTTGAGGATTTGGTCGAAGGGCCTGAAAAACCTACCCAATTCATCAGTGCTCACTCCATCTCTGACCATCCCCCATTTTGGATACTGTTTGACCCCTTTCTATTCAGCTTGGAAACCCACCACCATGGACAAATGAGTCCTAGAAATAATCCATGCAGGCTATACAATACTGTTTATTTCCACGCCCCCTACCCACCCTCCTTCCCCGTCCCTCTTCAGGGATGCGTCTCATGAACAGCTTCTATGGCAAGAAGTAAAACACCTCTTGCATCTGGGTGCTGTAGATACGCCGGAGGGTAGGGATAGGATACAGAGGGACCTAGGCAAAATGGAGGATTGGGCCAAAAGAAATCTGATGAGGTTGGGATTGTTTAGTCTCCAGAAGAGAAGAATGAGGGGGGATTTGATAGCTGCTTTCAACTACCTGAAGGGGGGTTCCAAAGAGGATGGAGCTCGGCTGTTCTCAGTGGTGACAGATGACTGAACAAGGAGCAATGGTCTCAAGTTGCAGTGGGGGAGGTCTAGGTTGGATATTAGGAAACACTATTTCACTAGGAGGGTGGTGAAGCACTGGAATGCGTTACCTAGGGAGGTGGTGGAGTCTCCTTCCTTGGAGGTTTTTAAGGCCCGGCTTGACAAAGCCCTGGCTGGGATGATTTAGTTGGGAATTGGTCCTGCTTTGAGCAGGGGGTTGGACTAGATGACCTCCTGAGGTCCCTTCCAACCCTGATATTCTGTGATTCTATGAGGTTCAACAAGGACAAGTGCAGAGTCCTGCACTTAGGAAGGAAAAATCCCACGCACCACTACAGGCTGGGGACCAACTGGCGAAGCAGCAGTTCTGCAAAAAAGGACCTGTGGATTACTGTGGATGAGAAGCTGGATATGAGTCAGCAGTGTGCCCTTGTTGCCAAGAAGGCCAATGGCATATTGTACTGTATTGCAATGAAAATGATTAGGGGGCTGGGGCACATGACTTACGAGGAGAGGCTGAGGGAACTGGGCTTATTTAGTCTGTAGAAGAGAAGAATGAGGAGGGATTTGACAGCAGCCTTCAATTACCTGAAGGGGAGTTCCAAAGAGGATGGAACTCGGCTGTTCTCAATGGTGGCAGATGACAGAATAAGGAGCAATGGTCTCAAGTTGCAGTGGGGGAGGTCTAGGTTGGATATTAGGAAACACTATTTCACTAGGAGGGTGGTGAAGCTCTGGAATGGGTTACCTAGAGAGGTGGTGGAATCTCCATCCTTAGAGGTTTTTAAGGCCCGGCTTGACAAAGCCCTGGCTGGGATGATTTAGTTGGTGTTGGTCCTGCTTTGAGCAGGGGGTTGGACCAGATGACCTACTGAGGTCTCTTCCAACCCTAATTTTCTATGATTCTATGAAACACCCTTTACCTGTGGACAAAGGGCTTAATCTTTTGCGGGTTTATGGGGTCTCTCACCAGCGAAAGAGCCCCAAACAGCAATACCCCACTCAAGCTCCACCTATTAACAATTACCAAAACAGAATGCACATGCCATACACACAACGCTCACCACTCCCAACAAGACAGATGAACCCTTCCTGATGGCCAGCCAGGATCAGGTCCATCTGGGGGACTCCAGCCTCTGCACGGTGCCACTGGCAGAGTGCCGAGGTCTGTCAGCTCCGATCCCGGGGCTGTTTCCTGGAGTTGGTTCCCTTAGAGCACCCCCTTTCCAACCCTAATATTCTATGATTCTATGATGAGGCAATTTCAGATGGGATTAATTGTTCTCCCTCATCTGCCTGATCTTCGTTGCTCTCCTCCTCCTGTCTCTAGCATCTGAGGCTACAGTAATTGACCAGTCTGGGAGAAAGGGATCTAGTCCTGGGGTGGGGAGTGGGAGGCCGTAGACACTGGCTTGCAGGTATGGGATTGCATGCCCCATGGTGTCCAGTAAGGCCAAGGTCAATAGGCATATGGACATTGCACTGGTAGACACACCAGGGGGCCTATGAGATTCATGCCATTTCCTATCACGAGACCAGTCCCTAGAGTCCCTCCCAGATTCCCACTGTAATCCCCATAGAAAGGAGGGAGGGTGAGCAAGTGGGATATGAGCCCCTACTGTGCATTGACTGTGAGAATGAAAAGGAGTACTCCTGCTCTGAAGGTAGGGCTAAACTTTGAAGTGTACAATGTCCCCTCCACTCTGGTATTGATGGAGTTGGTACTGCTGACACTTATCTGCAGTACAGAGGTCTTGGTGACTGGTGGTTGTGACAGTGTACCCCATAAGGCTTTATGGGGAGGGGGTGCTTATAAATGTATGTATGACATAACTGGAATATGTTTTGTGCTGCCTGTGCCAGGTAACATATCTCCATAAAGGTTATGGTCTACTATATCTATTCATCCTATTTGTACATATATATATCATTTTCTACTTGAGGTTAAGAATATGGGCTGTATGCTTGCTTGGTTTCTAAGTAAGCTTTGGGAGGCATTTGGTCAGCTTCTTTAGGAAGGAATTCGCCAGGTTAAGTACCTGATCAGGAAACACTTGGGGAACAATGCATCTTGGAATGCTCCAATCCACATAAGAAGTCTTCCTGGAGACATGCAAGATACCATGTGGACAATGGCTTCAGCCTGTAAAGACTGAGTCATGCAGGGACATGTGACTTGCCCAGGTGACTCCAGAACTCCATCTTGGAGCTGGACTTTGCATAGGAGGGAGGAGGGGGGTCTCCACCCACAAGAGAGAGTCTATTTAAACCTGGGGGAGACCCCTCCATTTTGTCTTCAGCTGGCTAAAGAAGGAGCCTCTCCACCCCCCCAGGATAGTTGGAGGAAACTGAAACAAAGGACAGTAACTACAGGGGTTGTGAGAGATTGCTGGACCCAGGCTAAAAGGAGATTAGCCTGTAAAAGGGAGCATTCTGGAACTGGTGAGGAACTTATCTGTATTTAGTTCGATTAGACATAGATTTGCGCATTTTATTTTATTTTACTTGGTGACTTTCTTTGTTCTGTCTGTTACTACTTTGAACCATTTAAATCCTTCTGTCTGTATTTAATAAAATCACTTTTTATTTAGTAATTTACTCAGAGTATGTATTAATACCTGGGGGAGCAAACAACTGTGCATATCTCTCTATCAGTGTTATAGAGGGTGAACAATTTATGAGTTTGCCCTGCATAAGCTTTATGCAGGGCAAAATGGATTTATCTGGGTTTAGACCCCATTGGGAGTTGGGCATCTGAGTGCTAAAGACAAGCACACTTCTATGAGCTGTTTTCAGGTAAACTTGCAGCTTTGGGACAAGTGATTCAGACCCTGGGTCTGTGTTGAAGTGGACTGGAGTGTCTAATTCAGCAAGACAGGGTGCTGGAGTCCTGAGCTGGCAGGGAAAACAGAAGCAGGGGTAGTCTTGGCACATCGGGTGTAGCTCCCAAGGGGGTTTCTGTGATCCAATCCATCACAGTGGTCTAGCCAGCCTCACCTTCAACCTGTCTAGCAATGACGACTCCAGTACCTGGCCTATAGCTAAATCCCTTGGTACCATATATGCTCTAGGTACTGACAGGGACTGCACCTATGAACTGGGTACCAATGAACAAGTTACTGAAGCGATTAGTATATTGAGGTTGACGCTGGAGGAAGGGCAGTCCACATGTTTAGTGGGTATCACTGGTACATGTTTAACTGTTAGCACAGAGGCAGCAGAGGGACTTTTGTCAGGCTATTGGCTGTTCTTTGACTGTTGAGCCTGAGATGACTAAGACGCTTACAGACTAACAAATAATTAATTAATAATACTAAGAGCTTGTCTACATGGCAAGTTAACATATGGGAAGCCAGGGTGTGAATCTACAGTGCACTAGTGTGCTCTACTTCCACACTAGCTTGCCATGCATTATCTCACTGCATGGCCAAGTCCTAAGAACTTTAACACTAATGCTCGCAGAGAAGCAGGTGGACACTGCAGGGATTCTGTCTCACTACCAGGGGGTAGCCATGTTAGTCTGTATCCACAAAAACAACAAGAAGTCCAGTGGCACCTTAAAGACTAACAGATTTTTTTGGGCATAAGCTTTCGTGGGTAACAAACCCACTTCTTCAGATGCATGGAGTGAAAATTACAGATGCAGGCATTATTATACTGATGGTCTCACTACCATTAGTGGTAGGAAGGAACTGAGGGACAGTAGGGCACCTCCATACTTGATGGCCTTGGGTTGGGGGGAGGCAAGGACATCCAGAGCACAGGCATGGCCCCAATGGATTCTGCTGGCCAAAAAAGTCCAGTCTCATATGCATGGTACACATGTGCACAAAGGCTACAATCCATGTGGACAAACACATGAAGAAACCACTCTATTACTGTGCTGGGGATTCTGCTGGTGGAGGATTTAACACAGCCCCTCCTAACTATTTACCACCTTGGAGATCTCTCCCACATGGATATCAATTCTGGACCCCCAATGGACTGTCTTAGGGGTTAATTACCTACTAAGAATTGAACCTTGCCCTCTTATCCCCACTACAGCAAGTAAGGCAGTATGAGTTGAGTACTGAAGTGCAATTAGACACATAGCACATTAGCTGACCCCGCAGTCTAGCCAAGCTATCTTTCATAACATTGTTTATACAAGTTGCTGTGAGTCTTGTTCTATTGAATCTCAGGCAGTTCCCATTTCAGTTGTGGCCTATTTTCTTCCACCACCACAATTTCATACCTTGCAGTTGGGATTGGCTCCATTTTCTATCAGCAGCTTGATAGCGTTGGGGTGGCCACCTCCTGCTGCCTCTGAAAGGGGGGTGTTCCCATTGGCGTCAGTGCACTCCACCATGTTGATGTGATTAGAGAGACGCATGGCCTTCCCTTTTTCATCGGTACCCACACCATTCTTAGTATCCAAATCTGACACCTGGATAGAACCAGACAAATGGAGAAGATAAACATGGAGAATGGGAAAAGAATGCCTTCTGCTCTGGGTACCCCTGGGAATTGTGTATTAGCTGAAAGATTAGTGAAGAGAGATTTTTGGATACAGTTTATTTACATTGTGAAGTTTCAGGTGTTTTCCAGACACACACACAAAGCATACTCCCTGCATCAAAGAGCTCATGATCAAAGCAGGCGATCAAAGCAGGCAGAAAGAGATTAGAGGCAGGAAGAGACAAACACAGCATGATGCAACCCAGATGCATGGCAAACACCTTACTAGCTCCCTACTTCATTTGTGTTTTGTCCTTTGTTACCTAATGAACAAGTCTCTGAGGGGAGGAACCAGGAGGCTTGGGGCCTCTTGCATAAAGCATGTTTCAGAAGGAACCATTTCTACAGCCTTCAACAATGGACTATGATCCAAATCAAAACATTTGGAAATGAACAGAGCTCACAGAAAAGGATATGAGGTCCCTCCCTTTCTTATGTGTATTCCAGTTCCTATGGAACCTCTCCCCTCCCAAGTACTAACTTCCTTTAGCACAGCCTTCATCTCTTCCACATCCCCATCAAATGCCGCCTCCAGCATCCGTTTCTTCCTTTGTTGTATTTCTCGCTGCTGCTTCTTTTTTTCTTCCTCTTTCTGTCTCTCCCGTTCAGCTTCTTCCTGCTCCTTCTTCACCATCGCAATGAAGGCCTGCAATAAAACAGTCATTGCAGCTCAAAACTCAAAGGGACTCTCAGCCATGGGCACCAGAAAACAGAGGCTCCAAGCACCCACATGGAAAGGGAAGTGGGCTGAAGTAGGGTTGCCAACCCTCCCAGATTGGCCGGGAGTCTCCTGAAATTGGCCTCAATCTCCTGGTGACTATTAAAGGCAATCCGGGAGATTTTAATAGGCCAAAGTCTGGTTGGCAGCGCAGCGAGGCTAAGGCAGACTCCCTACCTGCTCTGGCTCCGCGCAGCTCCTGGAAGCAGCTGACATGTTCAGCTCCTAGGTGCAAGGGCGGCCAGGGGGTCTCTGAGAGCTGCCCCCACCCTGAGCGCTACCAATGGGAACTGTGGCCAATGGGAGCTGTGGGGGCAGTGCCTGCAGGCAGGGGGCGGTGTGCAGAGCCACCTGGCCACCCCTGAGCCTAGGAGCCAGACATGCCGTCCACTTCCAGGAGCTGCCCGAGGTAAGCGCCGCCTGGCTGGAGCCCGCAACCCTTACCCACTCCTGCACCCTTACCCCAGCCCTGATCCCCCTCCCACACCCAAACTCCCTCCCAGAACCTGCACCCCCTCCCACACCCAAACTCTGTCCCAGAGCCCGAACCGCACACCCCCTCCTGCACCCCAACCCTCTGCCCCAGGCTCAGCCCAGAGCCCCCTCCCGCACTCTGAACCCCTTGGCCCTACTCCCCAGCCCAGAGCCCGCACCCCCCCCCTGCACCCAACCGCCTGCCCCAGTCCAGTGAGAGTGAGTGAGGGTGGGGGATGGGGAATGGAGTGAGTGGGGGATGGCCCCTCGGAGAAGGGACTTGGCAGGGGTGTTGGGTTTGTGCGATTAGACAGTTGGCAACCCTAGGCTGAAGATGGTTTCTCCATTGTTATTATAATTATAATAATTAAGTTATTATTATAATAACTTATTGAATAAGTTATTATTATAATATAATTATTATAACAACAACAGAAAATGTGGACATGGCAGAGGTGCTTAATGACTTCTTCGTTTCAGTTTTCACCAAGATGGTTGGGGGTGATTGGATGTCTAACATAGTGAATGCCAGTGAAAATTAGGTAGGATCAGAAGAGGCTAAAATAGGGAAAGAACAAGTTAAATATTACTTGGACAAATTAGATGTCTTCATGTCACCAGGGCCTGATGAAATGCATCCTAAAATACTCAAGGAGCTGACTGAGGAGATATCTGAGCAATTAGCAATTATCTTTGAAAAGTCATGGAAGATGGGAGAGATTCCAGAAGACTGGAAAAGGGCAAATATAGTGCCAATCTATAGAAAGGGAAATAAAGACAACCCAAGGAATTACAGACCAATCAGCTTAACTTCTGTACCCGGAAAGATAATGGAGCAAATAATTAAGCGATCAATTTGCAAACATCTAGAAGATAATAAGGTAATAAGTAACAAGTCAGCATGGATTTGTCAAGAACAAATCATGTCAAACCAACCCGATAGCTTTCTTTGACTGGGTAACAAGCCTTGTGGATGGGGGGAAGCAGTAGTTGTGGTATATCTTGACCTCAGTAAAGCTTTTGATACTGTCTCACATGACATTCTCATAAACAAACTAGGTAAATGCAACCTAGATGGAGCTACTATATAAAGTTTGTGGACGATACCAAGCTGGGAGGGGTTGCAAGTGCTTTGGGGGATAGGATTAAAATTCAAAATAATCTGGACAAACTGGAGAAATGGTCTGAAGTAAATAGGATGAAATTCAATAAGGACAAATGCAAAGTACTCCACATAGGAAGGAACAATCAGTTGCACACATACAAAATGGGAAATGACTGCATAGGAAGGAGTACTGCGGAAAGGGATCTGGGGGTCATAGTGGACTACATGCTAACTATGAGTCAATAGTGTAAGACTGTTGCAAAAAAGCAAACATCATTCTGGGATGTATTAGCGGGAGTGTTGTAAGCAAGACACGAGAGGTAATTCCATTCTACTCCGCGCTGATTAGGCCTCAATTGGAGTATTATGCCAAGTTCTGGGTGCCATATTTCAGGAAGGATGTGGACAAATTGGAGAGAGTCCAGAGAAGAGTGACGAAAATGACTAAAAGCAACAGAGGATCCTGTGGCACCTTAAGACTAACAGAAGAATTGGAGCATAAGCTTTCGTGGGTGAATGCCCACTTCATCAGAAAGCTTATGCTCCAATACTTCTGTTAGTCTTAAAGGTGCCACAGGACCCACTGTTGCTTTTTACAGATTCAGGCTAACACGGTTACCCCTCTGAAAATGACTAAAGGTCTAGAAAACATGACCTATGAGAGAAGATTGAAACAATTGGGTTTGTTTAGTCTGGAAAAGAGAAGACTGAGAGGGGACATGATAACAGTTTTCAAGTATGTAAAAGGTTGTTACAAGGAGGAGGGAGAAAATTTGTTCTTCTTAACCTCTGAGGATAGGACAAGAAGCAATGGGCTTAAATTGCAGCAAGGGAGGTTTAGGTTGGACATTAGGAAAAACTTCCTAACTGTCAGGGTGGTTAAGCACTGGAATAAATTGCCCAGGGAGGTCGTGGAAGCTCCATCATTGGAGATGTTTAAGAGCAGGTTGGACAAACACCTGCCAGGGATGGTCTAGATAATACTTAGTTCTGCCACGAGTGCAGGGGACTGGACTAGACAACCTCTCGAGTCCCTTCCAGGTCTATGATTATTTATAATGCAGCAGCAGTGCCATGTTGTGCTACGCTATGTACACAATCATAACATAACAAAGAGACCGCACCTGCCTCTAAGAGCTTACAGTCTAAATGTACCGTAAGAGACATCTGAATGATACAATAGACAGGGATGCACAAAGTAACACTGAGACAATTACAGTTTTCACAGGACAGCATGATACAGGGAGAAAAATTCTGATGTTAGAGAGAGCTTTAATTAAGCAGATAAAGACATAAAATCCAATGTCTAGAAGTTGAAACTAGACAAATTTAAATGGAAAATAAGGCACACATTTTAATAGGATAATTAAGCACTGGAACAGATTACCAAGGGATGCGATGGATTCTCTGTCACTTGAAATCTTTAAATCTAGATTGGGCATCTTTCTAAAAGAGATGCTCCAGTTCAACCACAAGTTACATAAGAACATCAGAATGGCCTTGCTGGGTCAGACCAATGGTCCATCTAGCCCAGCATCCTGTGTTCTGACAGCGGCTGGTGCCAGGTGCTTCAGAGGGAATGAACAGAACAGGCAATCATTGAGTGATCCATTCCCTGCTGTCCACTCCCAGCTTCTGGCAATCAGAGTCTACGGACATCCAGAGCATGGGATTGCATCCCTGACCATCTTGACTAATAGCCATTGATGGACCTATCCTTCATGAACACATCTAGTTCTTTTTTGAATCCCGTTGTAGTTTTGGCTTCACAATGTCCCCTGGCAATGAGTCCCACAGGTTAACTGTGCATTGTGTGAAGACGTACACAAGTTATGAATCAGTGTATGAATCATGAAGTGCAATTCTATCTCTTGTGTTGTGCAGATCAGTCTAGAATCAGATGATTATTATGGTCCCTTTTTTCCATCTAATTTATGAGATGCTGAGATGCTATTTCAGGGGTGTGCAAACTTTTTGGCCTGAGGGCCACATCTGGGTATAAAAATTGGACGGTGGGCCATGAATGCTCATGAAATTGGGGGTTGGGGTGAGGGCTCTGGCTGGGGGTGAAGGCTCTGGGGTGGGGCCAGAAATGAGGAGTTCAGAGTGTGGGAGGGGGATCTGGGCTGGGGGCTGGGGTGCAGGGGTGTGTGTGTGAGGGCTCTGGCTGGAGGTGTGGGCTCTGGGGTGGGGCTGGGAATGAAGGGTTTGGGGTGCAAGAGGGTGCTCCAGGCTGGGACCAAGGGGTTCGGAGGGTGAGAGGGAGATCAGGGCTGGGGCAGGGGTGCAGTGGGGGTGGAGGGCTCCCGCTGGGGGTGCAGGCTCTGGAGTGGGGCTGGGGATGAGGGGTTTGGGGTGCAGAAGGGTGCTCCAGGCTGGGACTGAGGGGTTGGGGGGTGGGAGGGGGATCAGGGCTGGGGCAGGGGGTTGGGGCATGGGGGGAGCTCAGGGGTACAGGCTCCAGGCGGCGCTTACCTCAAGTAGCTCCCAGAAGCAGCAGCATGTCCCCCCTCTGACTCCTACGCGGAGGCACAGAGCCGGCCATGTGGCTCTGCATGCTGCCTCGTCCACAGGTGCTGCCCCTGCAGCTCCCATTGGCCACAGTTCCCAGCCAATGGGGGCTGTGGGGGCGGTGCTTGGGGAGGGGGCAGCTTGCAGAGAGCCCCCTGGCTGTCCCTATGTGTAGGAGCTGGAGGGGGGACTTGCCTTTTGTTCTGGGAGCTGCGCAGCAAGCCCCCGACCCCACTCCCCAGCTGGAGCGCCAGAGCGGGACAAGCCCCTGACCTTGCTCCCTGGCGGGAGCTCAAGGACTGGATTAAAAGGCCTGATGGATCCGGACGTGGCCCACGGGCCTTAGTTTGCACACACACCCCGTGCTACTTCTTTCATGTACCCCAAGCTCCAGGAAAGAGGCCCTAAGCCCCACCTTTCTAATTGCGACTATTATTTCTGCAGCAGTTTGAAGCCTTCAGGGGTTGGACTTTGCCAGTTGAGAGAGCTCAAGCTTTTCTAGGAAAGCTGCTATCTTTGCTCCAAGGTCTCAACTTTCATTTTAAAAATGAAGTATCTAGCTTTATGGTTGTGAAGACAATCTTCAAAATATGCCCCAACTTTAACCAATTCCATGAAGTCTGTCTGAGTCTGCAGGCAGACTGAAAAAAACGGTTACCTACCTCTTGGTAACTGTTGTTCTTCGAGATGTGTTGCTCATGTCAATTCCAAGTAGGTGTGTGAGTGCCGCATGCAGTCACCGGAAGTTTTTTTTCCCTAGTGGTATCGGTAGGGTCAGCTCTGGAGCCCCCTGGAGTCGCGCCTTCATGGTGCCGTATATACGGCTCTGCCGACACCT